TTATAACTCAATTCGTAATGATGTCTCTCATCTAGAGTCTCACCCTAGAATTTAATAGTCTGGGTTCGTAATCTAGAATAATGAGTGTTATTTTGTCATGTCTCATTAAAGCTAAGTGCCCGAGCACCTAGATCTTCTCTTGGGACCGTGACGAACACTCATGGTTCAATCCTTGACCATCGAGGGCTCTACATAGGTGTTGAAAGCCCATAGCCGAGCCTTTATGAGAGGGCACTAGATCCCCTTGGAAGCCCCTTAGTGCTCCCCTCGGTCTAGTAGCCATTAATGCCTTATAAAGATGATTATTTTTACGTTTTTCGAGGATTAGACAACTATTAATGGCGTGTCATACCAACATGACTTGCATTAAAAAGCTTTCATACTTCATTTAATGCTAGGTTCCGAGTAGCATACTCGGCTTTGAGTATCCTACTTGCTCGGTGCCTTTTCTTGGCGAATTGTACGCATTCTAATAGTTGTGGGTATTCACGTGTCAAGTTTTCGTTGGCATGCCAGCTGCCCCCGGCCTCTGTTTTCCTAGCGCCATGGGACAAATGGCACATGAAGAGTGGAGGCTTCTTTAGAACGCCTGATTTTTGGGGATGGTTACTTGCACGTCTGCCACCTAATTTCAAATTTCAATTGATGGCATGTCTCCTTGATTCTCGCTCATGTTCCCGATAGTATAAATAGGAAAACCTTTAATTTTCTTGAGACTCTTCATGGGGGATCTCGGGAGTAGCTCCTACTAACGCTCCTGTCCTCATATATCTTGCTCTGCCATATGGTTTCCTTTGACCGCTTGAAGTCAGTGAGCCGGTTTAAGATGTTAACGTTATCTTGTTCAAGTTCCCTCAAACGGCCGCCCAACCCCTGTTTCATCAATTCCATTATTTCTCGAGCTAGCACCACTCGCTATCCCCAGTTCTGGTCCACTAGCAATGTCTACTGCGAATTGCACTGAACCCCATTTGATTGGTCTAAGGAGTGAGATTCCATGACTGCGGGAAGATGGTTAGTTTTCGTGTTTCTCACGTGTAGGCTACCCCTATCACATTCTGAGATCAAGTGTTCACCATGTTTGTGTCGCTATGGGGAAATCTGATTCAATACTTTTCTACAAACGACGCCAAATTGCACAGGAGAATTCCTATAATGAGTTGAGATAGTGATCTTCTAAATGATTCTGAATGGTGAACTTGAGACAAAAGAAAAATTAGGAAAAGGGTCGGGTGTACACCCAACTTATCCCTTCCGATGCTTCAGTCAGTTGGTGATTGAGTGAAAACGCATAGTATATTCTAGATTCAGATTGCATGCCTGAGTTTAGTTTTTGAAGTAGACTCGTAATGATGCCTCTCATCATAGTCCCATCCTAGAATTCAATAGTCTGGGTTCACAATCTAGCATAATGAGTGTGATTCCGTCATGTCTCATTAATGCTAAGCGCCTAGGCACTTGGATCTTCTCTCGGGACCATGCCAAGCATCCATAATTCAATCCTTGACCATCGAGTGCTTTACATAAGTATTGAAAGCCTAAATCCGAGCCTTTATGAGAAGGCACTAGATCCGGGCTCCCCCTCTGTCTCATAGCCATTAATGTCTTGTAATGATGACTGCTATGATGTTCTTCAAGGATTAAATAGCTATTAATAGCAACGCATTATTTGAAGATGGTAAAGATAGTACTACCAAGTGATTTTATATGAAGTCAATTAGGGAAGTGGATGATTCTTTGCTACGGAATGACACCTTTGTCCCTGTAGTATATATGTATATACATACAATAGATGTATATATATCCCGTCCTTGTTTACAAACAATATATCATGACCTGTATCATATTAAAACTTTATTTATTCTTTAACTTAGTATATAGATTGTCAGTGGTTATTGTCAATTCAAAATCAGTGTTATTTGATTATGAACTTGATTTATATGTAAGACATAATATAAAGGTGCTGGCATAGAGTTGTTATTTGGCATGCATGCACATGCAGAAAGACTTCAAAGACATGGACAAAATTTAGCCCTACTTTGATTGACAATGGACATGCATGGAGAAAGTATGGACAAAAAATGATCCTCAATGCCAAACACCCAAGGTAATTAATTACTTTCATGACTTTAAACAACTACCTCCAATTTGCTTTTAAATTAATTAGGCGATTATTTCAACACACAACATCATGTCACTAAACTAAAGCCTTAAAGCTTTTGCCTTTTGTGGGTTTAAGCCCATACCCATAAGGTTAATGTATAAATAAGTACTGATCAAATTAATTGATTGATGTTTTCAGGAACTACTTTAGGTGCACTCACAGGTTCGATCAAGGGTACCAAACAACCAAACAGGTGCAAATAACTGAAGATGAACCATTGATGTATCGGACCACGTACCATGGTGATCACACATGTCCAATCCACTCAAAGCTCCTCAAATCATTAATGGCTATGAGACCGAGGGGAAAACAAAATTATTAATAACCTGTCATACTAACATGACCCATATTAATGAGTTGTCATATTTTATTTAATTCTAGGTTTGGCCTCTAACATACTACTTGCTCGGTGCCTTCTCTTTATGAATTGTATGCATTGCGACAACTGTGAATAGTCTCTTTATGAATTGTACGCATTGCGACAACTGTGAATAGTCACGTATCAAATTGTCGTTGGCACACCATCTAATGTCCCGTCAAATTTAATGTGTGCATAGAAGAACTTGGGAGAAGACATTGCATTGTATTTGTATATATAGCAAAGGATCGATGGTGAAGCCCTCGTGGTCCTGACTTTGTGGAGCCCAAACTTGAATGCTTCCACCACCACCATTTGCTTTCCAGAAAAGCATTAAAGAAAGCAATTAATACAATTTTATTTTGACGAGGTTTGGAAAAAAGCATTTGTTTGTGATAAGAGCAGAATCCCCATCACATACATATTCACACTACCACGTACGAATTTCTAATTGGACAACTGAATTTAGGAAAATATTACGGTACCATATGTGGTATCGGACCAAATTATTATTATTTTTTTTAAAGTTATGGTATAATTTTTTTTAATATATAAGATATAATTTTAAAAGATATAATTAATTATAAAATATTGAGATTGATATCAAAAGTTCATGACTGATTGTGGATGTCTATAATTAATCATGACTTTCTCTTAAACAATTATAATTTTTTATTTTAAAATTATAATTTTATCATAAAAAATAATAATTAACGGTACAATAATTTTATTTTTTTTTCCGATACCGTAGACTTTTCCATGAATTCATATATTGATTGCCAGTGATGTTGGGGTGTACTCTTATTTTTATTTTTCCCATTTTGTCATCTTCCTTTTTTTCACACGTAATTAATACTCCTCCCCATCCCTTTGAAATTACTTGTAACCTTGCACGCAGCTGTACTGCTGCTACTACTACTCCCAACTAATATTATCTACGTGGACCGAATATTCGATTTACACGGACGGTGCTTTTGTCTTAGAGCCTTACGTACTTGATTAACACGCATGCAAGTTGCAACGCCACTTATTATAACAATAATACTACACTGATCATCATTTTTTTTTTTGATCAAAATCCTTGCATCAAATTAGCGTGACTTGCGGAATTAGTGGGTCACCCAATAAATTAATAATATTGTTCGATGCTTATAATTAGGGGTGATAATTTTTTACACAACACGAAAATACGATGCAAAATTGATACGAAATTAATGGGTTAGAGTTAATCATTTTTCGACACGAACTCATATATGACATGACTCGTTAACCAAATAATAGATTAGTCGAACATGAACAATATAAAATTGACACGATTAACACGTTTAAGTATTATTATAAAAATAAAATATTAATTTTTTAATATATTTTATCAAGTAGTGACTTAATTCTTGTAAAAAAAAAAAGATATTTTTACTTATTTTTATTATTATGGAAAAAGTATGAGCATTGATTCGATTAAGTGATAATGAAATTTAGACATAAAATTATGAGTTAAATTTTTTATTCATTAGTTATATGGGTTAATACGAATACGACACGAAAATAAATAGATCGACACGACACGACACGGTTAATTAAACGGGTTGAATTAGAGTTGACTAGTACTCGACACGAATTTAAAATGACTTGACACGAACACGTTACACGACCTAACCCAATACGATTGTTACCCTCACGTATAATTGTCCTACATCATTTTGGTAGAAAGATTTTGGTGCACATATTTAACATATATAGCATTTCTGATTTATTAATATCTCCTCCAACTACTTTGCAAGAAAAGATTTTTATAGCATTTTTGGTTGATAATAAATTCTGTTATAAGTTCCATAAATCTAATTAAGATATTCATGAAACAAAGTCAGTAGAATTTCAAATATCATAAACATTCTGAGACTCAACTATTGGTATCTCTGCTTTCACTTTTATAAATTTTTGCACATGAATTTGTCCGAACACCCTTCACTCTTTCAAAAAGAAAAAGGAAAAAGTGAACTCTAATTCTCCTTGCCCGTTCGATCGATATTTAAACTTCAATCACCCATATTCATCCGAAATCCCAAATACCCCCGGGCCTCTGTGACAAGTGGTGGCAGGCAAGTTTAAGATATGGACTGCTACATAGGGCCTAGGAGAGTAGGGCCGATCCAAGTTTCAAGGACACTAGTGTTTATTGTTTCGTACATCCATCACCATAACCTAACTTCAATGTTATCTTTTTGAATATGCCATGCCATTGCCATTGCCATTGTCATTTTCTGTGCTTTATCATAATTTTTTTTAGCTTTAATGCAGTACCCCCAAAATTTCTAAGTTAACTACATATATCCCAGCCGTTGATTCCCTTGGAGTCGATAATAAGTAATAAGAATCTGACTAAGGTGTAATTAACCAGCACCATGAATGACGCCATCCATGCATGGTTGCCATCAGATCAGGTTCATGGACAAATTAAGATGAATCTTAGTTTTTTGGGTTTTAACCAATTATTTGTACTTAAAACTATATAATTTACTTATGTTCCAAGCCCGGATACAAGAAGAAGAAGATAAAATTACATTGCCTTTCACACTAAAAAAAAAAAGAAAAAGAAAACAGCTACCGAATAGTTCACTATTCTGTTAATACATCCTTTTTACATCAAAGAAATAAGACCGAAAAACTAGTACCCTTCAAAATTTGTCAACACATCATCAAAATCAACAGATCCCACCATCATATCCATCTCAAAAGTACTAGGAGTGCTCGTTGTACATGAGTACACCCCAGAAGAAATCACATCTCCATGATCAGTCGATCCAGCTGAGAGGGTAGTCATGGGGGGGCCAGACGCTTCGAATGCCGTCAGTTCAGGCGACAGAAAATATTCAGACGATGATGATGGTTGTTGGTGGTGGTTGTGAAGTATACTTGGAGTTCCCCCTTCCTTAAGTTGTTGTTCCTGTTTGATCGAAGAGGCGAGGAGGAATGGAGTAAATGGGTCATTGGGTTTGTAGTCAAATGGGTTATTTGATTCGAAGTTAAGGAGGATTGAAGAATCCCTAGCGGTAGTAGTAGAATCGAAGATGATTTGAGGAGCTTTGAGCAGATTGTGGCATGTGTGATCACCGTGGTACGTGGTCCGATGCATCGCTGGTTCATCTTCAGTTATTTGCACCTGTTTGGTGGCTTGGCACCCTTGATCGAACCTGTGAGTGCACCTAAAGTAGTTCCTGCAAACATTAATTAATTAATTTGATTAGTACTTATTTATGCATTAACCTTATGGGTATGGGCTTAAACCCACAAAAGGCAAAAGCTTTAATGCTTTAGTTTAGTGACATGATGTTGTGTGTTGAAATAATCGCCTAATTAATTTAAAAGCAAAGTGGAGGTAGTTGTTTAAAGTCATGGAAGTAATTAATTACCTTGGGTGTTTGGCATTGAGGATCATTTTTTGTCCATACTTTCTCCATGCATGTCCATCGTCAATCAAAGTAGGGCTAAATTTTGTCCATGTTTTTGAAGTCTTCCTGCATGTGAATGCATGCCAAATAGCAACTTTATGTCAGCCCCTTCATACCATGTCATACATATAAATCAAATTCAAAATCAAATAACACTGATTTTGAATTGATAATAACCACTGACAATCTATATAAGTTAAAAGAATAAGTAAAGTTATAATATGATACAGCCGTGATATATTGTTTGTAAACAAGGACGGGATATATATACATCTATGTGTACGAGTGTGTGTATATACGTATATACTACAGGGATAAAGGTGTCATTCAATAGCAAAGAATTATCCACTTCGCTGATTGACTTCATATAAAATCACTTGGTAGTACTATCTTTGCCATCTTCAAATGTTGCGTTGCGAGTAAATAGACCAAAATGCCCCAAAACAAGGGTAGAATAGGATGATATATATATATATATATATATATATATATATATATATACGATTACGCAATCACCTCCTCTTGTAGCATCCTCTCCGATCTTTTGTGGCGGACGTCTTGCAACTCTCGCTGGAATCTTCAGACTTGAGGGCATCCCAAGAAGGGTGGTTATTATTGGGCGGAAGTTGAGAAACCTCATCGGACTCGGTACAAGTCAATATTGAAAGAGTGTCAGTGAATGACCCCATGATTTTCACGATAAGTTCCCCGGCGTCAGACACCGATGATCCATCGGCTTCTTCTTGGAACGGTTTAGTAAGCATGTCTCGAAGTTGGTTAGCGAATTCGCGGCCTCTGATCAATTTTTCAACTGCCTTTTTCCGATCAGTGGGTAAGTTTTCAGGCCAAGAAGAGGATTCCATTAATCTGAAATTTCCTGAGAGGTCTGGGAAGGCAAGTGAAGCAGAGAGAGAGAGAGAGACCTTTTAATGCGACAAAAGAAAAAAGAAACCACAACGATTGGCAAATGCTAGGAAGATAAATAAAAGGAAGCTTGGGAGGAAAATTCCTCCAGCTTGAAAGAAAATACAAACCCCACGCGCGAGTTAACTTGTATTTTACGCACAGCTCCCATAGGCTTGGTGAGGTTCATGAACCTTATGTCTGGCCCACCGCGCGTGCATCCAGGGCGAGTGAGACATGATATCTTACGCACAGCAGGTGACGTTTCTGTGCTTTGTCATGGTAGAGCGTCACCCACGTTCCACGTGGCACATCGAATTATTCATTAACCCCGCCAAGAATTGTGTAAGTTGCAAGTTGCTGGCTAAATTTTCTTATCCACACCACACTGACAAAAACTGGCTGTGAGAGTCGAGTGCGGCCAAAAACTGGAGATATCTCAGGGGTATTTTAGTCTCTCACATAAGACAATGTCTTGGTAGTTAACTAGTTATACAACCTTTGCCTCCATTTACGTGATTATTATTATTATTATTATTTTGTAAGTAAGGATGACCATTGTTTTTTTATACTAATAAATTGCATGCAAATTATTGCATAATTATCTGAATTTAATTTATATATAATTACATTAATAGAGAATTGTATTTTTGACATGCACACAAATATATCCACCTACAATTAAATTACCACCACCACTGTCAATTCAAATTCAATGATAAATGAAACCACCAAAAGTCCTACAAAAAAATTCAACCACAAACTTTACAAAAACTCAGTTTTCTAACGATAATTTTATTTGTATTCAATGTGCATGCCTAATCTAGCATAACCACTTAATCAACATTGAGTTTCAACCAATATTACAATCTATTGTTGCCATGCTAAGGTCTTTTTTTTTTGCAGGGTAGTTAATGATAATGAGTCTATTTGGACTCAATGGATTCATTTTACATATCATAGGTGGCATTCTATTCAGATGATCTGCTGCTTAATTACTATTCATGGAAGCTGTTACTAGGGGTATTCAAATTTTCGATCAACCGCAACTTCCTACCTTACCCTACTGAACAGCTAGCCGCAAAAATCGAGTAGGAATGCGGAAGAATTTTTGGTCTTTCGACAATTTTCGGGTAGGAATACGGAATAGCCATTCATTTTCGCATTCCTACTCTACCTTACCAGCAATAATTTTTTAATATATATATATATATATAAACTAAAAAAACCCTAAACCCTAACCATAGGCGGAGCAATTATGATTTTAATATATTTCATATGGTTTAAAGTTTAAACTTAAATTAATTGTTATTGTATTTGTGTAACAATTATGGTGGATTGATGTTCATATTTTTTTGTGTTTTATTATAATTCTTGTTGTAGTTATTTTAGATTTTAGTGTTAATTGATTTATTATATTGTTAAATTGGTGCATGTTATTTAATTAAATTGTTAAAATGATCCACAAATTAATTGTTACAAAAATATTTATCCAATTTCCTACCCGACTTCCTACCCGATTAATCGGGTAGGAATACCACACCTGTCGGGTAGGGTAGGTCAAAAAAAAACTCTTCCGCAAAGTATCGGGTAGGAAGACAAAACAACATATTTTTTACCTATATGGTAGGGTGAACACCCCTAGCTGTCACTTGTCTTTATGACCTCATTTCCTTCTATTCATCATATTTTTTTGCTTTGAATAATTCAAGGTAAAATAGAGTTGGCTAAAAAAGGACGAGCATGTTAATTGATTAGATCATTAAATTAAGTTTAAATAGGATTATTGGATCTGACTTACGTGCTCGTCTCGTGACTATCCCTATCACATGCCCAGCCACTCACTTGGTTGCCTTAAGTTATTTGGTTATTTCTATCTCCGTCATCGTGGCAGGAAAACTATCAAAGAACTAGTGTAATTGTCTAAATGAGGTGCCTATAAAATGGGCAACTATTATAGGAAGAAGGACATGATTAAACTCATCAAAGTCCCACATTTTAGAAATTTTAAATAGTACTTATTGTAATTTAGAATAGAAATTAGTATTGTAGTTAAAGTTGATTCATCATTCTCTTGTAACCTAAGTGAAAGATATAGACAAGGAAAAATGTTTTGTTTTCTTTTTTTTTTTGTTTCTCACAATATAGCATAATTGGGGTTCTCATGTCATTCTGAGGATGATTAGTGAAAAACCATGGTCTTTTGACAAAAGTAGGGAAATGACATTCTAATTTACCCAAAAAGATAAAAAAGAAAAGTGTAGATGTAAACAAGAATATCATAGAATCCGAGTTAGGACAATTTTACGATGTAAAGTAAAGGCATAGATGTGTACTTAAAATGGTTGTTTAATTAAGGATTTTCAAGTAGCGTTGGGTTGTGATGTCATTGCCTACTTGAGAATGATACCGATAAAAAAATTTGGTATCGTAACTCTAAAATTTATTATTTTAAAGAGTGTTTTTATAATTTTTGTGATTTATTTTATAACTAAAAAATTTATTATTTTTGTGAGTGTTTTTATCCGTGTTGTAAATGCTTTTACTATTGTAATGGTAACTATTTTTACCAGTTTTCTTCGGTACAAAAAAATTTATCTTTTTTTTGTGGGTGAGTTATTTATTATTTTTTGGTACCACAGTCAAATTTGTATGAAAATATAGGGACAATGATGCTCGATAAATATGTGAAGTTGTCTATCTACGTATCTATTTTAAAAAGAAAAAAAGAAAAAAAAGAATGTGAGGAGCAAAATTATAATAAGATGATAAATGCATACATTTTGGAGCCTAGTCTTGTAGCCTGTTTGTGGTGGGAAAGGTTTGAATAGTCAAGGGGGGTGTGTTGTGGAAAATCATACGCATGACTTGACTTGGAATGACTTGACTTGACTTGACTTAATTGCACCTCAATTGCAAACAGACAGATACTATATCACAATCTTTTCAGCCCGGCTCCTGCCTACGTACCAAGCAAGCTGAGTTGAGCCATCTGATCCGATCTTTGGAAATAGAAGAAAGCAAGTGATGGTGGTAGTGACGGTAGTTAAGTGTGAACAGAGAAGCGCGTTCACACCTGAGCAATGCAAAGACTAGGCAAGCCAGCAACCCCTCGTGTTGTGGAAATGTATGTGGTTCCGTTCACACACACACACACACACACACACACAGTGTATTGTGATATGTTTTTGGCGTAGCAGACGCTGCATTTAATAAACGAGGTCAAAAAAGCACATGGCTGATGACACATTTTTTTTTGTTTTTTGGGATTTGGTTATATATTAAGAGTAATGGTACTTAGATTTAATTATATATAGCAATTAAATTAACACTAAATTTCAATTTTAATTGAAATTCACAATCTATTGAATGATTACGATGGATTATGTCAACAAAATAAGTTTAAATATTATTATTAATTTATTAATTATTGATAAATTTCAGTATCATTTGATGGCATTTTGTTTAACTATTTATTTTGTTGTGCATTTTCTAAATAACCTGATAACGTATTGTTATGTTTTATCTCTTTCTTGTTGAGACTTATTCCATCTTAATCACACATATGATTAATATTTTAGTCATACTAAATTCGTTCCAATTACTTTTACAAAATAACAACGAAACCATACTTTTTATTTTAATTTTTTTTATGAAATGATCTAATTACTCTACAAAATTATTATTATTATTTAAAAAAAAAGGTTACCTAATGGTACATTAATTATCTTGAGATCCTAGCTTACACTCGAATGCATTCAGCGGCAGATCCATAGTGGGAACAACTGCCTCCAGGACTTTTAGTTCTCTTCTATGGTTTTTTTTTTTTAATATAGTTAATTGATATTAGAGTTTGTAGTCCTCTATTGTGTTTTATTTTTATGTTAAATTATAATTGGTGCTTGTAGTCCCCTCTTTTGTTTTATTCTTATATGTTGAATTGGAATTGGAGTGTGTAATCCTCCATTATGTGTTAGATTAAATTGTTTTGATTTGGTGGTTTGAATAATTTTGTTGTTATAGGTTGAGTAATTCCTATACCTATGTTTAGTTTAATAGAATAGTCATAATTCCAGTTAGTTTTTTTGTTTGTTAAAATTCGCTGATGAATACTAAGTTTGTGACTGAATAAATTAATTTTTATAAAATAAATTGCGTAATTGAACGATAGAGCAATGAATGAACAATTGCTTGGTTACATATGCCGAGAAAGAAATTTTAAGTACCATTGATAATGAAATTATTATACATCACTTTCAAAATATGAAAAGTCATTGAGAGCAACTATGAATATTTACGGGATGTTCTACAAATTGGATTCTCTCATTATAGACTCAATATATGATTGAGTCCAATTTTTCAGTTAAAATTTTTTTTGTTATGTCTTATAAATAAATTTATAGTGAGTTTTTTTTTTTTGTTGGCTTCTTTTGTGTATCACTCATGTATATGAGTTATGCCTTTAATTGACGTTTTATTAATAAAAGTATACTTTTGTGAACATTTTAAATTTTAAATGTTGTTGCCCCAGCGGAGAAGATGTTTGGCACCGCCCTGTATGCATAGCCCATAAATTACTAACCCCATTAATCACAAAATAACCACGGTGGTCTCGAATTGTAGTGGTGACAGAAAGTTTAAGTACAGTTAAAATTTTTTTTTTTTTGGAATGATTCACATCTAATGATTGTTCTAGTAACAACTTCAAGGCCAACCCTTCATGGAAAGCCTACGGATTGTAAAACATAATAAATATAAAAAGATAATTCAGAAGCCAAATGATATACATTTATGGTCCTCAACATGGTTTCTAAACTTGTACAGCTAACATATGATGCAAGAAGAATGTTATTGGGTCAGATAGTCACAGAATAGAATCATCACCTGGCTGGTACCTACAGTTCTACAAAAAAAAAAAATCCCAAATATGCAAACAAGATGAATCTATTATTCCTCATCAAAATCACTTTATCCAGCATTTAACTGAAGAAGATCTAAAGGCCTTCGCCCATGCACAAAAAGAGGCCTATTTTGTGGCAAACCATCTGGTGGCAAACACCCCGTGAATTGCATAGCAAGCCCCCATTTTGCTAACTCATGTGCTGCTTCATCATTTCTCCTTCTGGTATGTGTAATGCCCCCCAAGGTGATTTTCCAGAACGAGCTTAAGATCTTGAACAATGGTGTGAATAGTCCACTTTGGAGTGATAGCATTGCAACATGAATGACGCTATGTGAGTCTCCCTCTATAGTCACATAATTCCAGCTTTTTCTCTCTGCCCAAATTGCTGCATGTCTAGCAGCCAATGCTTCTGCTATAAGAGGATCTGTGCAATCTTTCATATTTAATGCAACCTCCAGAATAGTCTCATGTCCATCTCTGGCTATTGCAGTTGTACATGATCCATCTTTTCCAATCGCTGCATCAAAATTTATCTTGATTTCACCTTCCATAGGTGCTCTCCACTGTTTATGGATAGGATCATGTGCTTGTATTTGCTTCAAGGTTGGAGCACTGAGTCTTGTTCTTGCAATAAGAAATTCGTCAAAGGACAGAAGCACTTGCTGGTGTACTTGATGCAGAATTGTGGTTCCTTCATTTCTTTCCTGCATAGAATTTTATTCCTCCAGTTCCATAACGTGGATGTGAGAATGGCAGTAAAAATGATAAGTTCTGTGTAATGAGGACTGTTTGGGCCAAAGAGGACTGTTGTGTTCTGTAAGGGGTGTATCCATTCATTAATACTCAGATGTGAGTAGGAGTCTGTTTTGATTCCCCACTTTGCAGACCAAATCATTCTGGGTAGAGGGCAAGGGAAAAATAGATGAACATCAGTTTCAGCATGTTCTTGGCATAGTGGGCAAACGGTCTCTGGAATATACATCCTGCTGTTTAAAAGAATTTTGGTGGGGATGCTTGCAGTAGTCATTCTCCATAAAGTCATCTTGTGTCTCTCATGTATTGGGGCATGCCATAACTTTCTTCAGTCATGTTCAGTCAGATAATGTTCTTGTAGGTCCCTACAACTCTTAGTGCTTTGTAAACCGATTTTGTGCTGAATTTTCCTGTTTGTTCTAGTATCCAAGCCAATCTGCCTTCACTTGGATAGGCCGGGAGTTGTTTCTTCAGTATGGCTTGGACAGTTTCCTGTGAGAAGAGGGATGTGAGTAACTCTCTGTTCCACGTTGGTGTGCTAGTATTTATCAATTCAGCAACCTTCCTGAGGATAATGTCTCCATCCTGCTGCAATTCAACCCTGAAATCTGGTAGATTTGTTACCCAAGGCTCAGTCCATACATCAATTGATTTCCCATCGCCCACTATATGACATGCACCTTTGATGATTAGTGGCCTATAGTCAAGGATCTGCTTCCAAATTGATTAGTCACTTGGTGTTTTTGGACATGAAGAAACCCATACCTAGAGCAATACTTTTTGGAAAGCTGTTCAGACGAGAGTTTGGCATTGTTTGCAAGTAATTGCCAACCCAGTTTGCCTTAAATGATTGCTTAATGCCTTGCATCTTTCTAAATCCCAGACCTCCAACTGATTTCGGCCTACATATGAAATCCCTTGATTTGACCGTCATAGCTTGCCTCTCCTCAATTGATCCCCACCAGAAATTTTGAATTTTACAATCCAACTTATTACAGATTGTCATTGAGAGTAACGTGGACTGCATTGCATAAATTGGCATTGCTATTGCAGTAGATTTTATCAATGTGGCTTTCCAAGCATATGAGAGCAATTTTGTCTTCCAACCTTGTAGCTTCGAATCTAACTTTTGTAAGATTGATTGAAAATCTATTGTGGGAGATATGCTTCTCATTAGTGGCAATCCAAGGTATGTAGTTGTGGGAGATCCTCTCTTCAATCCCAAGATGTGTTTAACTGATCTGATTAAGTCTCTTGGAGCATTAGGGTTGTAATATGCATGTGATTTTTCTCTATTGAATTCCTGGCCTAACCATTCTGCATAGGTGGAGTGGCAATTCTGGATGCTTCTAGCTCCCTTGGGATTTGCTATTTCGAAAATGATAAGATCGTCTGCGAACATGAGATGAGTGATAGGGCTGCAATTTCTGGCTGGTTTAATTCCTTTCAGTTTGTCCTGCATTGCATCCCTGTGTAACAATCTAGACAAAAGCTCAGTACATTTATAAAAAGGGATGGGGATAGGGGATCCCCCTACTTGAGTCCTCTATGGGACTTGAAATTTCCCAAAGGACCTCCATTAACAAGGACTGAGAATGTGGGTGTTGTGATGCATTGTGTTGGGAATCCAAGCATGGTGAGAATGCATAGTAAGAGAGGCCATTCCACCTTGTCAAATGCTTTTGACATATCAATTTTTAAAAGCATTAGAGCTCCTTTCCCTTTTTTCTTTTTCAAAAGATTAACAATTTCTTGAGTTAAGACTATATTTTGAGCAATCCCTCTCCTTGGTGTGAAAATAGTTTGGTTGGGGGCTATAATCTGATCCAAAAAAGGTCTTAGCCTATTTGTAAGGATTTTGGATATCAATTTGTAAGTCACATTGCAAAGACTAATGGGTTTATATGGTGATGAATTTTCATTGATTTAGAGGACTTGGGAATAAGGCATATATTTGTTCTATTTAGCTTAGTGAGAATACAACCTCCTACAAAAAAAACCCTAACCATATCCACAAGGTCTCCTCCCGTAGTGTGCCAATATATTTTGTAGAAGATGAAGGACATTTCATCTGGTTCTGGTGATTTGAATGAAGACATTGAAAAGAGTGTGGCCCTTATTTTATCTGGGGTAGGAATGACACAGAATTCAAGGTATTGGTCAAGGCAGTCAATAGGCTCAATGAGTCCTTCAACGTATGCTAAGAATTGAGGTTCAAAGGAAATGAAAAGTGTTTAAAAATGAGTTAGGAACTAGTTACCTATCTCCTCTCTCTGTGTTACCCAATTTCTATTTGGAATTTTCAAGCAGTTAATGGAGTTTCTGCGCCTTCTGATGATTTTGGTTGTGTGGAAGAATTTTGGTTGCGCATCAACTTGTAGTATTCTTTCCTCAAGTATATTATTTTGTGTAGGCTCAGCTTGTTGGAGTTGATCAATTCTTAATTTGATTTTCCTAGCTCTTTGGATACAATTGCCAAACTGTGTCTTATTCCAATGCTTTAAGACCTGCTTTGTTGACTGAATTTTTTTGTAAAACCTGTATGATGTTGATCCCCTAACTGATGTTTTCCAGGATTCTTTGACTACATGGTGACTGGCCTAATATTTAATCCACATAGGTTCAAATCTGAATAGCTTAGGGAAGTTGGATAGGTCTCCATATGTGTTTAGTAACAGTGGCGAGTGGTTTGATGTGATAGTAGGTAGGTGTTTGATGGTGGCTTTGGGAAATAGTGACCTCCATTCCAAGCTAGATAAGCCTCTGTCCAACCTTTCCTTTATGTTTTCTAGTCCTTCACACTTATTGGACCAAGTGAATGAATTACCATTGAAGCCTAGATCCACCAACCCCTAGTTATGTATTAAGGAGTTAAATCCTTCTTTTGAGGCAAATGCAAACAATTTGCACCTTTTTTTTCATCTTGGGAAATGACATTGTTGAAGTCTCCTAGGAAAAGGAGAGGGTGTGATGTGTCAGTGGTTATTTGGTTCATTGTGTCCCATAGTTGATGCTACTTTCTTTGATTAGCTAGGGTGTAAACACAATTAACTGGTCATTGTGCGTCTGGAGGGTCAAAGAAGATGACACGTTGAAGACGACACACCTTACTAGGAGGATGAGGACATCCCTGGGGAGCATGTATGTAGACCCTTTTTGCCAAGTCACCATGTAAGAACACATTTTTTACATCCATCTGAAACAAAGGCCATCGGCGTGCAAAGGCTATGGCAAAAAGGGAGCAAATAGAGGTAATGTGAGTAATAGGAACAAATGTTTCCTCATAGTCAATGTAATACTCTTTTGTACAGTCTTTGGCTACTAGACAAGCTTTATGTTGCACCTCAGAACTACCAGAGTTGGTTTTTCTTTTATATACCCATTTGTTCCCAACTATATGCGTTCTAGAGGCAAATCAACCAAATCCTAAGTATTAGTTCTATGAAGGGCCTCAAATTTTTCAGACATAGTTTGCTGCCAAAGAGGGTCAAAACAAACCTTGCGATAATTGCGAGGTTCATGAAGAGAAGCAAGAGCGAAAAACCAGTGGTAATCAGTAAGTGGACAGGGAGAGCTCCTACCTTATTAGAACAAAGAAAATCAAAAGAGGAGGAGGACTCAGGATGGGATTACAGGATCAACAGCCGATCCAGATTCATTAGGAGTAGTCGTTGAGTTATACTCAAATGGATTAGATGTGCTGACAGGATCAATAGGCAGTCTAGAGTTGTAAGGATCAATCGTTGAGTTATCACTTGATGAGTTTACATTACTTGCAATAAGAAAAATCTAGGAAATGGTCTACAGATAGGTTAGTGAAAACAAGAGAATATGAGGAAGTATCGAATGGAAATTTTGAAACACTAGTGAAGAACTTGTGTTCCCAAAAGTGAACATGGAAAGAGAATTGAAGATGCTTGGTTATGGGGTCATAGCACCCGTAACCCTTAAGTTCAATCTCATAACCAAGAAAGCAACCGAGTTAAGAACAGGGTTCAAATTATATACGCTTATAATGTGGGAGGAAGACAAAACAAACACAACCAAAAAATTTTAAAAGAAAATAATTGGGTATCTTTCCATAGAGAAGTTCAAATGGAGATCGAATAGAGATAGAAGGAGATGAAACCCGATTAATAGTTTAAACAACGATAATGGCGACTTCTCCCCAAAAAGATTCTAGGAGAGAGGCGGAGAGAAGGAGAAAATGAATAGTGTCAAGAATGTGATGATGCTTACGTTCTGTATGACCATTCTGTTGGGAGGTGTAAGGACATGATTGATGAGATAAGGTGTTTGCTTGTTTAAGTTCTTCAATGAATGAGGCAGCCTTATACTTCATGGCATTATTGAAACAAAGATTTTAGTTGTGTGAGTTTTTATCATCTGCTTAAAATAACGAAATATATTAAGTAATTTAGAGCAATCATGTAAAAGATAAATCCATGTGTATCGTGAACAATCATCAATAAAAATTATAAAATAACGAGATCCACCCTTAGTGAAGATAGGAACATGTCCCCAGATATCANTCACCGTTGAGATTATGCTGTAGTTGGATAGGATGATTTCAAGGTCTACACCTTTCCTCCAACATAAACAGAGTCCCCCATATAGGTCTTTGGCTGGTTGGATTTCAAAGTCATAAAAATCGAGGCTGAGAATGATTTTTTTTGGTTATTTAGGTGTTTATTTTTGTTCTTGAGAGGAGGAGAATGCCTGGGTAGTGTTCTCTTATTTCAGCTCTTAGGTGTCGAATTGTCAAGACATGGGCAAACCCTTGACAATTCCTAGCGTAGATGATCATTGAGGGGGTGGGGGTGTGGTTAGGCCCACTCCTCAACCATAGTAGTGGTCTCATCAGTCAATTCTGCAGTTGTTTCACGAAGAGTTTATGTAAGAGTTCTAGTTTTGTGGTTGTTCTCTTGTAAGTGAAGTGTCTGAGTGGTTTTCTATTGACTTTTTTTTACTAGTTATGTGATCCTCTGTGACGACTAATGGATCATTGAGGATGGTTGGGGTATCTGGTGGGTCTGATGAATCATCAAGTCTGGTTGGTTAGCATATTTTTCATCATTTTCCTACACTCTCGCTGCTATGATTCCATCCTTTCTTTGATAAAATTTGTGAGAAGTAGATTTATCTTGTTTTCGAAGGCTATGCATTTTAGTGATAAGTGAGTGAATACCGAAGCAAGACAATTATGTAGAATGGTTGAGAATTAAGTTTCTAGTGTGGTTATGGTTTCTGTGAGATGGGGTGAGGATTGTGGATTTTGGCGGGTGATCAGCAAGTTAGGTGGACTGTTTAAAGGTTTGTTTTGTGTTTGAAGTGGTTGTTGATGGTGTTTGATTTATGATGGGGCTTTGGTTTGGTGGGCTTAGGTTATGGGCATCTGAGGAATGGTTTGGGCTTTTGGTTTGTCGGTTGTTGGTATTAGGGAGGATTATTTTTTGTGGCCCATGGGTAGTATATCACTAGACTGCACCAGGGGGGTTAAGGGATTTGTAGTTGTTTTAGGGTTTTGAAAAAGTAAGAAGAGGAATGGTGGAACAATTGCAAAGGCAGGTTGGGAGTTTGTTACCTTGTTGTCCATTGTTGGTGTGCCACATGTATTTGTGTAGGAATGATTGCAAGTGGTAGTGCGCACGTCTCCAACGATTTTTGGGAAGTGTCCTTGCTGCTGGCATGTGGTAATGCACAATCCAAACGTGGAGTCTCATGGGCTTCCAGGGTTGGTGGTGACAATTCTTTTTCCGATGAGTTTTCTGGCTAAAGATGAACCTTTGTTGTGTGATGAATATTCCCAATTTTCCATAAGGATGCTCACAGTTGCTGATCGTATTTGGTGTGCTTGTCTACTAGTGGTTCAAAGATGCAATTAGGTTTTTCATGGCCAATTCTTCCACATCTATAACAAAAATCCCCCAATCTTTTGTATCGGAGCTAGATCAATCTTCTAGGGCCTTCCTTCATTGGCATCTAGAAGCGAGTTCAAAGTGGGTGCGTAGGTAATTTTTTCAGACAGTTTTTGGGCAATTTTTTCTTTGTTTGCACTGGCTATGATATGAGACGATTTGGAAGGAAAATATCATGTAGCAAATCACGCCGCAATCAGCGGGATGTATACTACAATTAATAAAGGTTGATTGGCTAGATTCTAGGAGCTGATTAGGAGTTGATAAAGCTATTGTTTTTGTATTTATTAGGATCCTCTACGAGTAGGTAAGCATAGGAGAAATTTGTATTCTTTTGAGTTTTAATAACATAGGGTTTCCCCCTAGAAGTGGGAATTTTGCTTATTTTGTTGCATTTTTCTTCCTTGTCTTATCAATTGGTATTAGAGCACTGTTCCTGCCCTGTACATGCGATAATGGCGAAGGGGACTAGGGCGCAAGAAGTTAAGCGTATGGAGGAGAGTATTTGCACTTTGAAAGAGAACTCTAACCGACAAGCTGCCGATATGAAGAGCCTTACTGAACGCCATGTTGCAGACATGAAAGACTTGAAACAATTAGTTACTACGATCAACATCAAGTATGATCAGCTAGCTACCCACCTTTTGTTGATCAATGAGCAAGGGCAAGAGGAGACATCTCGTGTTTCGAAGACTCCACTAGGAGGGCAACAAATTTCTATCCGTGAAGCAATTCAGACTAGATATGCCTGTCTGGATTTTCCCCATTTCAATGGTGAAAACCCCAATGGTTGGGTATACCACTACTAGAGATTTTTCATGTACAACCACATCAACGAGGAGGATAAGGTCTATGTAGCTTCCATTCACCTTGAAGGTATACCAGTTGACTGGTTTCAGAGCTATGAGGTTGCCAAACATCATATTACATAGAAGATCTTTTCTAAGGACCTGTGCTTGCGTTTCGGTCCTGGCTATTATGATAATACTATTGGCCAATTGAAGAAATTAAGGCAAACTGGTGCAGTGAGACTTTATCAGGAGCAATTCGAAGCTTTAATGACAAGAACACGTGGGTTAATAGAGGATTTCTTTGTGCAGTGCTTTACTAGTGGCCTACGTGAGGAAATTTGAACTGGAGTTATATTGTTTGAGCCAACTAGCCTTTCTCATGCAATAGGGTTAGCCCGGTTACAAGAGGAGACCATGGATGATGTTATATGTCAAGCTCGAGCTTCTTTGACGCCAACCAACACCCTTCAAAATGGGTTTTCTTAATCTGAACCCAAGTCATCACTGCCACCTATAAGGAGAATCTCATCAGCACAAATGGAGGAACAACTTGCAAAGGACCTTTGTTACTATTGTGACGAGAAATACGTCATTGGCCATAGGTGTAGAAAACAACAACTATTCCTTTTAGAAGTAGATAAGCCCCAAGAAAAATGGAACATTTTGAAGATGCCATGGCCAAACCCCTTGAAGGCACCGTAGATATTCCAACAGACGAACTAGTCATCTCAGTCCATGCTCTTACGGGCTCTACATCATACCAGACCATATGGGTGAGAGGATTTGTGAAACGGAAGCCAATTACCATTTTGATTGATTCAGGAAGCACACACAACTTTCTTAAGCCGGAAGTAGCCAAACAAACAGGGTGCACCACCTATCAAACCAGCCCCTTATTTGTGGTTGTAGTAGACGACACTAGAGTTGCTAGCTCTACCATGTGTCGTCGATTACTATGGGTTATGCAAGGGACCCAGTTCGAAGCAGACATACAACTCTTACCCTTAGGTGGGTGTGACATGGTCCTTGGTGTTCAATGGCTCACCAACCTNACAAATTAATTGTTACAAAAATATTTATCCAATTTCCTACCCGACTTCCTACCCGATTAATCGGGTAGGAATACCACACCTGTCGGGTAGGGTAGGTCAAAAAAAAACTCTTCCGCAAAGTATCGGGTAGGAAGACAAAACAACATATTTTTTACCTATATGGTAGGGTGAACACCCCTAGCTGTCACTTGTCTTTATGACCTCATTTCCTTCTATTCATCATATTTTTTTGCTTTGAATAATTCAAGGTAAAATAGAGTTGGCTAAAAAAGGACGAGCATGTTAATTGATTAGATCATTAAATTAAGTTTAAATAGGATTATTGGATCTGACTTACGTGCTCGTCTCGTGACTATCCCTATCACATGCCCAGCCACTCACTTGGTTGCCTTAAGTTATTTGGTTATTTCTATCTCCGTCATCGTGGCAGGAAAACTATCAAAGAACTAGTGTAATTGTCTAAATGAGGTGCCTATAAAATGGGCAACTATTATAGGAAGAAGGACATGATTAAACTCATCAAAGTCCCACATTTTAGAAATTTTAAATAGTACTTATTGTAATTTAGAATAGAAATTAGTATTGTAGTTAAAGTTGATTCATCATTCTCTTGTAACCTAAGTGAAAGATATAGACAAGGAAAAATGTTTTGTTTTCTTTTTTTTTTTGTTTCTCACAATATAGCATAATTGGGGTTCTCATGTCATTCTGAGGATGATTAGTGAAAAACCATGGTCTTTTGACAAAAGTAGGGAAATGACATTCTAATTTACCCAAAAAGATAAAAAAGAAAAGTGTAGATGTAAACAAGAATATCATAGAATCCGAGTTAGGACAATTTTACGATGTAAAGTAAAGGCATAGATGTGTACTTAAAATGGTTGTTTAATTAAGGATTTTCAAGTAGCGTTGGG